GCAACTCTCCAGACTGTAACTGTATTGAGCCATGCTGGTTCTACATGAAGAGAGAGACTACAAAGAAAGGAGCTCCACAGTCAAGAACGGAGGCAACTAGAATCTGGCTAAATTGCTGGAGAGATCTCCCACAAGCTAAGATCCAAGCTTGGATTGAGCGTATTCTTATACATATTCCAAAGATAATTGAGCTACAAGGTGGTAATGAGTATATAGAGGGGAGAGATAGGCGTTGTGTAGGAGAGCGGCCAGATTTCGGCTAAATTATTCTTGGCAGGACAAAACTTTTGTGAGGCACCTCCGTAGTGGGCGGGCGAAGAGCAGCCATGGTTGGATGGGCGGCCTGGGATGCGGAACGTCCGGGAGCCGTGCCAGGGGGAGAGTCATGCACCATCACACAGGCGTGCCATCCAACTAGTCTCGCCCGACCTATGAGCTCCCTCCGCTGCCAGTTCCCCTTCGGCGTCTTTTTGTCGACACACTGTGACAGCCGCTGCCATGCCATGTCCGAGACTAGCGTCACAAGCCCCAAGTATGTGCCTGGCCATCGTGGCCATGCCTCTTATCGTCAGCCTGTATGTACAGCAATCCTGAGCCATGCCGCTCGTCTTCACCGATCATAGCATGAACCAGTTGACGCTTTCCATATCCTCATTGTGGAATGTCTCCCACATCAGCGCGTCCCAGTCCTCGGCGTGGCTGTCAGCTGAAATCAGTGAGTCGGAGCCTCCCAGGCCGTTCGAATCAGCGGGCCTGCCACATTGCTCTTGAGCGCCTGCTGCAGCTTCGAGTAGCGGCATGCAAATGTCCGCAGCTCGCTGCGACGCCTTTGCTAGGTATGCAGCTAAGTCCGACTTGTCGACATGCTGCTTTGTTGCGTCAGTCCATGCGGCAACGAGACACAACAAAAGGTAGCCCTTGATGCCCGTTTCGCCAGCTTGCACGCAGCCGAGATACCAATTCGCAGCATCTCTAGCCACACCACTGAGCGGACTCGACATCCAATCGGCCGAATCATCCTCGTCTTGCACCTGCGTGCGCCACTCTGTAACCAGGAATATAGCAGCGTGGAAAGCAAACGAGCGAAAGAAGCCTGCTGTACACCGACACATACGAGCTAGGTCTGTCTCACTCGTAGAGGGAAGACTGCCCGTAGATACTGGCTGTGCCAGCCTCCAGATCTTGAGCGAAGAGTCGATTGTTGCCTTTCGCGAATAAGCAAACATGGGGTCTTTGAGTGCGGACGCGAAGAAGGGGACGTGAAGACTGGTGATGTAGCGCTGCATCACAAAGTCTGTTGCTTGCAGCGCGAATTGCAAAGGCGATGAAGTGGCGTCCGCATAGTAGCCTTGCATTGTGCGACGCATCGTTCTGTATGCGGCTCTCAGCTCTGAATCAATGCGCAATGTCTCGTGGTATGTTCCGCTCGAAGCGATATCGTTCAGGAATTTGAGTATTGCAAGACGGACCGAGACTGTTCTTCGAAGAGCGATCGCGACTGACGTCTGCGTAAAGATGTCGTCCGATCTTGCGATAGGCTCCGCCTCCAACAGCTGCTCATCATCAAAGTTCCCCGGCGGTGCAGTCGTGAATCCATCTTCTGAAAACAGCGGTGGCCCACCAGACACCATGCTCGTCTGCAGCGACAGCTCGAGGATCGTATTCCAGACCCTACGGCGCATTTCCGCCTCCAATACCGACATGCCAGGCAGTTGAGAAGGATCCTTGTGCAGGCCTATATACACTGCTGCACGATACACTGCACCAACCGAAATCCAGACGAGCTCACAGCCCACGTCAACAAATTCGCGCGCAATGATGAGGAGAACATTGCTTTGCAGATACTGGATACCCAGCTGCGACTTGAACATGGGTGAGGACAGCCATGTTTGTGCTTCGTACACCCAGCGCATTGCTTCAGGACGCAACGACATGTTCTCATCGTATGCCGTGGCACCTATTGCTAGAACCAGCTTGAGCATGACTACAAAGGCCATGTCAGGTTCAGTGTCATTGTTCCATATGCTCTCATACATGCGCTGAAAGCTTGGAACGTGCAAGACACGGTATACCGTCTCCATTGTCCGAAGGTATGCGGCAACAAGCTCGTCACAGACTGGTTTTGGCGGTAGGTCTCTAGTCGGCGGAGTCGGCCAAGTTGGAGAGCGCCGTGTTTTGATGACCCGAGCCAATGCTTTAGCTCGATGTACCGTAACGACAACATTCGAGTATTCGCTTCGCATACAAGGCTCCATGCTCTCGATGATCTCACGAAACTACACAGCATTGTTAGTGATGAAACCGGCTTTAATCTGGGAGACAAGGGGGTCGCACCATGACGATACCATTCATCCAATGGCTTTGCCCAAATACACGGTTCTTGTGCGCGACACTCCGAGAGATAGCCACACCACTAGGTGTCCGGGCATCCTCGAGAACATCTAAGGTACATGCGAAACTGCTAATTGTTTGCACCGAACGTGTGGACACTGGGGTAGAAGCAGCTGGAGAGTAAACTGAGCTGGCAGCACCGGAAGCTTGGGAAAGTTTGTCTTCAAGCTCCGTGATTCGATTTCGCAGGGTCTCCAGCTCCAAAGCAGAGTGTTGACTGTCGTTAGTTTGAGGAGTTGCGAAAGACGAGACTACTCCACCAGTGTCCTCTGAGTGGATACTAGATGCATTTGTTGGACCCTTCTTATCGCGCCGTGGTTGAATGGGTGCAATAGGGTGTGCCCCTAGTCTTTGCTCGGATGGTACCTGGGTCTCATACACACAAGCCTCCGTCTTTGATCTTATACAGTTGCTGCATGGCGTCTCTCGATTACATCGTATTTTTCTTTTGCGGCAGAGGGCACAGGAGCTAGATACGGTTAGCGCTGGAGATAAGTGGTCATGGAGATATGCCCGCCTTACACAGATGCCCGATTCCGTGTACGAGTTGCTTTAATCATGGCTCTCACACAATCCTCTGATTGTGACTCAGTTTGGGTTGAGCATTTCGGGGCGCCGAAAGAAAGGACGGGAGTTGAGTAAAGATCGCGAACGGAGATAAGTTTGCAGTCGGCGGATGCCTGATTCTCTCGCCGCTCGGTGTTGTTGGCCAATCGCATTGCGCCCGACTTTCTTATCCCCGAACAAACGCATACCAACTGCCTCGCAGTCCGTGATACTACAGACAGTCTGATGGTGATATATAAACGACGCGAGCTGGACACGATGGCTTCCATCATCTTCAAGAACGTGTTGCAAAATCCAATAAGACCAAGCATTCACTCGCGATAGCATACCAAAATGCCTTCTTCACCCACTTCCCAAACACCTCAACCATCTTCAATTCCAACCTCACTGCTCGATCCTGAGAAGCCTCCTTTACCCCTACCTACGACAGTCGAAGATGAAATTAATAGCCTAGGCCCCGCTCCAGACGGTGGCCTCGTAGCCTGGCTCAATGTTTTTGGCGGCTTCTGCATCTTCTTCTCCTGCCTCGGTTTCACATCTTGCTTTGGCGTTTTGCAAGAGTACTATTCCACACACCAACTCAAGGACCACGATATGGACGAGATTGCCTGGATAGGCAGCGTGGCGGCTTTTATCCAGTTTGCAGGCGGTGCAGTGGGTGGCCCAGTATTTGATCGGTTTGGAGTCTGGGTAAGTCAAGGAAAACATGCGAAAACCTGCGAGGCCCTCTGCTTACCAATATGACAGATGCTTCGTCCAGCATCGCTGATCTATGTCTTTGGCCTGATGATGGTCAGTCTGTGCGACAAATACTACCAGTTCATTCTTGCGCAATCCCTGCTCATGGGAGGAAGCGTCGCGCTTCTGCAGTTTCTCGCAATGGGGGTGACAGGCCATTACTTCGATAAGCGACGTGCCGCAGCCATGGGAATCTTAGTTTCCGGGTCTTCGATTGGAGGTGTGGTATTTCCCATCGTTTTGTCCAAACTCCTGAACTCGTCTTCGTTATCCTTTGGATGGTCTATTCGCATCATTGCCTTCATCATCCTCCCCTTTATGCTGTTCGCCTGCATAGTCATCCGTCCACGCTTTCCGCCTCGTAAGACAACCATTTTCATTGGAGCTGCGTGGAAGACGAAGAAGTATGTGTTGCTCGTATCAGCATTCTTCTTTATGATGATGGGTATGTGGACTCCGCTGTTTTACATTCCTACCTACGCGGTTCGTAGGGGAATGAGCCCACTTCTCGCATCCTACCTCCTTGCCGTCCTCAACGGATCCTCGACCTTTGGACGTATCATTCCTGGAGTCCTGGCCGACAAACTGGGCCGAATCAATATGTTTGCCTTTGCAGGTATCTCAACCGGAATTGTGGTGTTCTGCATCAATGAGCCCCGCACCAACGCAGGCATCATCGTCTATTCCGTCTTCTTTGGCTTCGTCTCAGGGACAATCATCTCAGCTGGTTCGGCGGCTCTCTCGGGCTGCACCAACGATCCTCGAAATATCGGCACGTACATGGGCATGGGTATGGGTCTTGCATCATTTGCTGTCTTGGTAGGCCCGCCAATCAATGGTGCGCTACTAGACAAGTACGGTGGGTTTGTACAGGTCTCAGTATTCAGCGGTGTCGTCATCCTGTTTGGGGGTATTCTCGCGCTCAGCAGCAAATTTGCCACTCCTGAAGGAATGTGGAGTAAGGTGTGAGTGAGAGTCAGGGGCTGTTCATTTACTAGGAGGCTCGTAGTGTAGAATGTGTACCCCTTTCTGGGACTTTGGGGATTGGGAGAAAGCAGCTGGGGCGCAGAGGAGAAGTATTAGAAGAATGTAATGCCATATAGTCGCCCTGAAATAAATCAATATTTGCATCATCTGCCATGAAGATGGGTTGGCCCATCAATGGACCGAATATCATAATGCTTCCTTGACTATATTAGCTCTCCATGCCACTGCTCACTGGTGTAACGCCCCAACACCCAAGTACCACTCCAGTGCTCAGCTATGTGCTTGCATCTCGCCACGACGCTGGCAAGTATACACTTGTTCTTTAATATAACCCATGTCTTTGCTAAACAGTAAATTTGGCGAGGTTAAGGGTCGTGAAGTGGTTTATGCGGGGATAGGCTCGTAGGTGTTGTGGGCGTCGCGGTTGGAGAAGAGGTAGTAGATGATCATGCCGACAACAGGGAAAAGGAACACGACGAGCGCCCAGATGACCTTGTTCGTTACGGGGCGGTTCGACTTGAAGATCTCAACTGTAGTGCAGACGCGTCAGCTTTATTCTAGCGGTTGGGCGGTTCATGCCCCAAAGACGGCACGGAAAGTGGTGTGAGAAGGGAACGTACTCCACGCAATGATGTCGAGAACGAGAACAATGAATCCGACGATGCCTCCTCCAGTGCCAGCCTGCCACGGTTCTGCGCCCTGCGCTGTTATGGGAGCAGCCTCCGCCATCATGAACATGGAGAGCTGGAGAAGCAGGGAAAGGACAAAGTTGAACATGATGCCGGTATTTGGTGAGCTTGAGGCTGAATAGAATATAATGCGGGTTCTGATACGTCTGTGAGAGGAGAAGGAAGATGCGAATGCTCTGGCGACAGCTGCTGCCTTGAGTTGTATATCAAGACATGACGTGGGGGCTGGGCTGGGCTCGACCGTTTGATGTTTCGCACGGACGTACGTCACAGGAAATTCCGTCTGCATCACGCGACACTTGCAACCAGGCTGCGCCTGCATCGCTCCGCGGAACCTTGTGTAGACCTCGCATTAGTTGTGGTCGCATTTTCCAGCTGGATTTTGGCACCTTGTCTAAGTGTGTTGCGCTATCGTGTTCATCTGGAGGCTAAGATGGTAACAAACCAACAGCGCGTGCGAGACGCGTCCACCGCATCTTGACACCATCAAAAGCAACCATTCTTTCCAGCTCTGCGCTCGATGACTAACTGTACCTATAGTTGAATGTGATTAAGCATCTAGCGTACCCAGATTTCAAACCTGCCAACAATGAAGCAGCATGAGCCGGAAACTCACCCGTTCGCTTGCGCCTGAAACCATGCGTCTATGCTGCCATAAATCAGCCCCAGCACGTGACGGCTATTCCAAGAACATTTACAAGTCCGCTGCAAAGCCGTCAGTATCATTCATGTTAGGCCTGCGGACATTCCAGGAAGATACCAAATACATACCACCAGAACAATGATGATACTCCGCTGACTATTACAGTACGACTCGAATTTTGAAATGGATAAAGACTGCCTGAGTAAAATTCCGATCGACTAATTCCAACATATCAATTCGCCCTCTTGTCCTTACACTGGTGGTCGTGCAGGCCTTGGGTACTTACCAGCAAGGAAGAGAAACAAAAACGAAACAAGCAACGCGCAAGTCGACATCGCCCATTCAAATCCAACAACATAAAAGTCCCATAAAAGACTTCCTTTCACATACGACCATAGGAAACTGAATTTTGCTTCTCCCGTGCGATCCGTCAAAACTCACGGTGCCACGTTCGGGTATATTTGGTGGTGTTGCCTCTCGTATACTGTTTACGGAAATCACGACTCTGTCGCAGCGTCCCCCCACCAGTACAGCCCCCAACAACCATTAACAGTTACTCTTCATTCCTGATCTAGTTACTAAGTTTCATCAGAGCGCGCTGTTTTAACGGTCGCTGTCTTAAAATGGGCTGCTGCCAACGAAGGGGCGTTAAGCCCCTTCCCTTCACGCTGTCTCTTCTCAACACAATTACTGCGCATTCTTGTTAGATTTTACTCCTCAATATGGCACCTAGAAAGAGAAACAAAGTCGACCTTGAGTACTTACGCTCTCTTGCGCAGCAAGAAAAAGAGCCTACTCTGCCGACAAAAGACGATATTAAAGCCACAATGATCCCCTCTAGTTACAAGCAATATGAGTACACTATGGCTCTCTGGTCAGAGTGAGTCAATAACTCTGAAAGTACTACAGGTTTTTCCTAACAGCTTAGGTTTACTGAATCCATCCTCAATGAACCAGCCAAACCTACGTTCGAAGAAGCACCAACTGTGTATCGCCTTCAGTTATTTCTTCGCTGGTTTGCCGAAACGAGAACTGGCCAGCTTGAGGAGAATGTTACAGATACGACCGTCCGAAATCGTCTCATGGCGCTCAAACGAGTCATCAGGATATATACTGGTTACAAGTATAATCCGGCAGAGAACAAAGCATTTGACAATTATATCGCAAATGACCTCGTACTCAGTAAAAAGGTAGCTACGTGTGCTTACAACAAGCCTGTGGCTCCCTTAATGGTTGCTGAAGATTTGATACGATTCATCTGGGTGTGCGACGAATATCAGTTTCCGCATCCTCGCGCACGTCTACAGTTAGTCTTCTCCATCATTATCATGACTGTGTTGGGTAGTCGTCCCGGGGAGTTTATCGAATCAGGCTCCTGGAAACACAGTAACGATGGGCTCCAATACGGTGACATAGATCTCATACGATACCAGAATGGCACGTATGTAGGTTTTCTTCTTCATCTGCGATTGCGTAATCGGAAGGGACACCGGAATAACAAGAAACACTCGTAAGCAAGAACTTTCAAGAATCTTATAATCTTAATTCTAAGACAAACAGGCCTGTCATGCTTCTATACGAGGAGGCTACTATGCGTTCTATGTGTCCAGTCACACATTTCCTAGCGCTGGCACTAGCGGACGGAGTGTTTCAAGACTGTACCAGTCTTCAGGAAATCGAAGCAAAGGAGCTTCCAGCAGGTAGCTCGATGTACAAATATCGGTACAAGCCAGAGGCTGTCCTGAAGCCTATCCTGAGGAGCATATGTAACAACGGCACAGTCTCAGATGACATCATCCTTACTTACAATTGTTTCAACAACATGCTTAAGGGGATCGGGCAACGTGCTGGCTATGAAGATAGGCTGAGTGCGTACTGCTTCCGTCGAGCATATGCTAGAGCAGTGGAGAGTAAGTACCATAGTATGCTTCAGTATTTTGTCGCAAGCTGATGGAGTAATAGGAACGGCAACTCCGGCTCAGCGAAGATTGCTCATGGGCCATACCAACGATGACACGGCCATGTATTACATCTCTGGTATGGTTGGGATTGATAGCCAATCAATGGTCCATGGACGCGAGCAAAGAAAGCAGCTTATTGAGGAAAACTATTCCATGATGGCTAAAAGAAACCTTCTGACACCGATGCCTCCTAATTCTCAATTGATTGATCGTTCTAACTCACTGAAAGCTCAAGAAGCCAAAAAAGAAGCTCCAACGGTGGCTTTATTGGACCGCACTCCAAAGCAAGAGTATGCTTTTCGAAGACAATCGAGATCAACCGCATATCGCAAACAACGTGAGGCCTTTTTCAAAGGCGAGAGCTTCGATTCTCCGTATGCAACAGCACCAACAGCTTCAACAGAACGATCGAAGAAACCTTTACGTTCCCCATCGCGATATCTGAAAGCATTATGGAAATTCGAACCTGAACGGAAAGCTATCTCAAAGATGCTGTACCCTGGATGCGATGCACTAGTTGAAGATGGAGTCAGCCTTGATGAAGCCTCAAACGTCAAGCTCCCGCTTAAAGATATACTTAAGCCAATGGTGGCTATAGCAAAACCGGAAAAGAAGCGCTACAGTTACGCTTCTGCCTCACCGACTGAAGATAAGCGTTGTAGCGTGTGTGATCTCCAATTCAACAACGACAACAAGAAGTGGGTCCATCGCTCTGCCCCTTGCTACTGTATTGACAAGTATAGATCAAGACCAGATCGCATGAACGAGCACCTACTTCAGTGTGTTCGAAAAAGCTACATAAAAGATGAGCGACAGCATATAACGAATCAATTTGCCCTTATCCACCAATGTGCCTGGAACGACTGCAATTTCAGTTTCCGAGGAAGATCTTGCGGAACAAGCTCTCTCCATATAACCAGGCATCTTCACGATATCAAAACTCACCAATGCCTGTGGGGTAGCTGCCTCGAAGAATTCGAGAGTTATGAAAAGCTTGCTTATCATGTATCAGATAAACATCGAGTCCCTAACGAATAGACCATGCTAACGAGAATGCACTACTGCTATGAGCACGATGGATGGTGTCGATCAGATCAGCAGTGGGTACAGCATCTTGAGCTTCACCATCTGCCAGATCTTAACAACTTCTGTGGACTTATCCAAATGAACGGAGTGGTTATAGTCGCAGCGCATTGCCTGTTATGCTTAGGCGACTGTCATGCGCCATTGCCTGTTCGCTTTCTACAGTTTAACAGCGCTTTCGCTCTACACACACACATGAGAAAGCACCTTGCACAACTAGATGCCCCCCCATCCACCTGTCCACATCCACATTGTCAAAGTATAATTAGGTCCAAGGAGAAGTTCTAGAATCATGCGGAAAGCGTTCATGGTATGCCGCCCTTCGGCCCTCGTCGATCAACTGGGAAGCGCAAGACGCAGGAAGAGCTTGGAGACGACGACACAGATCATACAGCTGATACTTTTCAAGACTCCGCCAGTGGTGGTATTGGTGATACATCATGCAAGATTGCGGCGGGTGATCTTCCAGCGGTAGTTTTGGGGGAGGCAGTGTAGGCCTCGTACGAGTTCCGGCGCTTAAGTTGGCCACACTAACAGCGCGCTAAGTACGTATGGTAGGGATCAAAACTAAGGCGCTTCCGTGGACGGGATACAGAAAACGGGAGATAGTTAACCTAAAAATTACACGAATCGCAGTCAAGTACTTACATATATAAGCACCTAATACGTAGTCTTTCAGAAGGCACACTCACCACATCAAGCATGACCGTGGTAAATGAGAGATCCGCGCGTCGCTGCGCTAAGCTCAAAAAGCGCATAGCCGCAAGAGCCTTTCCAAACACGTCATCCTGCTTATCACATTCTGAATCACCCTGCCCATCACCATCCCCATCACCCACTGTACCATCACGCTCCCCATCGCCCTTAGTTCTACCATCTCTTCTACAACTAGAGCTCGGGCAGCAGGTGCAGCGTGATGCTGAATTTAAGCCGTCGAGGTTGCAACGCCCGCTTCTCTACAACCCCTTACACCAAACGCAAACTTCCAAACGATTTCCGGATGGAGGAGCTCAGCGTCAACTGCTCGAATCACAATTACACAGCACTCTCGAAGAAATCGATGAAGTCGCGCCTTCAACCGACTCCTCCAGACAGCGACTCGAATCGCAAGCGCGCGACATCCTCCGTTCATTAGATCATCTCCCGCCTAGACCATGCCTTTGTCCTTAGCACAAAGATGAAGTCTCTAAATTGGCTAGGGACACATTGACTAGTAACAGGATCGATGACGACATCACCGCAACCGTGGAAAACAGAAGGGAAAACAACAAAACTATACTTAAATTGGTATGATTGCGTTTTAGTTGTTTCAATAAAGCTAATCAGTGCTGCAGGGCTCCTCAAGGGTCTCACATGCATGTTTGCCCGCTACAATTCACCAAGGCCGTTTCAACACTCTACTACGTAAGGCGAATCAACTCTGTCAAATAGCAGAGGCCGATATATACATGTCGATTCGTATCAATGGGTGCTTTTATGTGTACAATTCGGTAAATCCAACCTCACAAATAGCGCTACAGCCTGAGGTCCGCCACCCTTTGTAAAACCCGCACACAGCCGCTAACATCTCACAGGCCCACGAGAAGGTGATCAACGTGTCAGTCACCAGCAGTGTTGGTGTACCAGAACCTAGGGGTCATAGTCGCGAATGAAATGAATATGGGACGTTTGGAAGCCGCAACATATGGGGTGTTCTATCGTGTACCTAAATACCTATATCTATTCTACCATCAGTCTTTAGATGTGCTTCCAAGCTACACGACGTACCTCGGTAGTCCCATGACTCATTACTCAATAAGCTGTTGTAGTCCTCGATTGCTGTAGAAGGGAAGAGCTTTCTGTGAAGCTTTCTAGGAGCTGATGCAGTCTTTTGAAGAAATTTACGCCAGGTTAGAATGATAGTCATGTTATCAAGTGGAAGTATGAGGGCCTACTGAACACGCATAGGGTTGGAGTATCTTAAGAATAAATGGTGAAGCCTAGCTATGTTCTACCCTACTTCCAGCTTGGATGCAGCATGCTAGTGTATGCCTAGCCTAGCTACACAGCCTTTTCTTGGCTACCAAGAACCATCCGGCACACAGGGATGTCATTCCTCCAGCATTCAGCATACGAGTACCGGTACCCGTCAGTTGTCTCCCAAAACCATTGACTGTATTCGTATGGATCTAAGTTTGCCGTTTTTGACTCCGCTGAACGAACAAGCTACAGGGAGATTAATAGTAAAAACACGTGTTAATGTTTGTGGACTCACCAAACATGGCTCATCTCTACCTAGCAGCGTAACGAGAGCGTTGTGGTCTCGAATGCAAAAACATGGGCGATAAATTGAGAATTGCACATTAACCGCAAATTCGAGAGGTAAGGTGTAACAAGCAACAACCTTGGATGGCGCGGGGGATTGTGGTAGGCAAGTTGCGGCACCAAACAGTCCAGCAGAAAGGATTAGGCTCAACATGTTACGATTTTGGAAGCTTAAGATGGTAGCTTTCGCACTCATTATAATCATGCTCACAACTACAATGTGTTCGTATACCCCCCGGCCCCGGTCGGATACAGGCATCCAGGACCTGGATCCGGAACCTGGATCCGGAGCCCGTTCATGGAGGTGGCAGTACACAGCCCCGCAAGCGGTCCAACAGGATCCCGTAAGCCCTGAGCATGTCTATGGTAAGATAACACCTTCGATTCGAAATACCTAGGCGGACACTTCACGTACTGCCCGCGCGCAATTATTATTTAGGGTCTACCAGCGTTAGTTTCGTTCAGAATACAGGCACAGCCTTTCCTTGCGCCTGGAATCCCCCCTCACACAAGTCCCCGCATCTGCTGTTTACTTTGAGCATCAATGATGGCTTCATCCCCCACTGAAAGCGATCCTCCTCCCGCGTATGAATTAGAGAGCACGTCCAGCCCGGACCAGATCCTTTACAACATCAGAAATACCAAGTATAGCTCTGAATTCGTAACAAATGGCCAACCAAGCGAAGAGGATTATCAAGCACACATAAGGCACTTAAAAGACTCATTCATAGAGTGTGGTGCTGTAAGAACTCATAAGACGTACAGCTTCAAGATACATACTAAGAAAGTGTAGGGAGCAGCTCGTCCTACGACTGGCGAAAGCTGTATTGTCAATGTACAGTCAAAGCAGGCTTTTGGCAACATCGAGCAGCTTATATGTGCATATCAAAGATTGCTAGAGACTATCGACCCATTGGACGAGGAGGATATTATCTTTCTTCTTCTAAGTCGATTTTCACGCTCTACCGGAACTAGCGTGTATGTCGAAATTAAAAGACCAAGCGGGGTGCAAATTTTCGATTCAACTATGGTCGAGCCATCGGTAATAAGCCCTATTCTATGTGCAGTCTTTTTATAACACTTGTTAGTACACATCGCCTATTCGAGATTATATGGTCTGCACCCCTAGCGTAGTCACTGCTGAGTTCCACGTACCGCCCTCCAATAACATATCCCCAGAGGTGCTACATGTGTCAGACAATCGGCAGCCATCTACTGCGGAGTTTGGCTGTTCTGTAACCATAAATTTTCCAGAAATGTCCACGGCAGTACCTGTTTCAAATCTAACATCTAGTACTAACGCGGACTGCCATCCTACACATAACTACGATCCATCAGAGAATGACATGCTTCATCCTGTTACTGATTGGGGTTCACTGCCTGCTAAACTACAACCACCGGCCTTTCGTGTACATAGGTGTCACCACCGAGGTATGGAGCGCGGTGGCGAGCAGGAGGCATTTGAGTTGCCTTTCGGATTCCCAGAAGTTATTCAGCATGTCCAGAACATCCCTCACAATGTATGTTTTCACTAGTAAGTCAAGGGTAATACGAAAGCTGACAAGTTATAGTACTACCACATTGGCTTCTATGTTCGAAACAAGACATGTCAGTCTCTGCCCTACAATGAAGGAGGGGTACAGGCATTCGAATGCCATATGCTACCTTCTCAATCTTGCATCTATATTATAGTCACGCGAGAAGGGGACACGCTTGCATACAGTTGCTATCGAGACGAAGAGGTAAGACCTTCCGATATTTTCTGGGATATCACTCATCCTTTGAACAGCTTTGGTCGCAAGCCCATGAGAACCACGAACATTGCACTGGTTGTCCAGGTAATTAGATAGTATTCACCATGTACTGTAGTGTAGTAGGTATTACGTGATTGGATTTAGGCTTAGTATATAGCAAATATCTATCGTAGCGTAGGAAAATCAACCAACTACCGATTGCGGGTCTCAGCCTGTTCCCTATCTTTTTTGTGCTGTGATATCCCATTACTGCCACAGTATATAACCCTGAGTGATTAGTTGGGCTATGCCAAGTATATGCTATACACTCCAGTAATTAAGGCTAGTAATTTTAAGTGTTTGGTACTAGTGTAGTCATTCGTGTTGATTAATACTGTTGTAAGACCCGCGAACATGTTCCCGTTACGAGATACGGGAGTGGGTCGCACAGTCGTGATTTAGTTAACATTAGATTGTAGCAGCAAAGCACAATAAAGTAAAGTAGGCCTAGGAAGTATATAGTGCATGATCCAGACACGCGTACTATAATTTTAAACATCCATCACACTCTTTAGTTGTTTCCTAGCAAAACTCTGAGACGGGGCAACGTGAACCGTCCACATACTGGTATGTATGATCTACTACACCCTTGACAGGCTATCAAATCCTCTAAAACGCAGTGACCTAGAACAACGGTATAAATTACAAAAATTGTCACTACATAAACTGCGAGTAATAGCACGGCCTATTGTCGCAGATGGTAAGTCAAGCTTGGATTTCTAATAAGGCATCACTAACACAACTCTAGAAGATAAGACTCGGAACCAAAATGACACCTTCAGCAACGCTCAAAAGCTCAATACCGTCTGCTGCTAAAAAAATCAGATTCAACACTCCTATAGTTATCGGTGTAACTGTGGCGATTGTTGTCGTGTTAGTAGCACTGCTAAGTTGTATCTTCTGGAGGACACGTCGTCATGTAAAGGCATCAAACAAAATTCGCCATGAAGCCGTTGAAGCCCACTACATGCTGTCCCAGCCACCCAAGTAGTACACCCCTAGTATGAAGGCTCCGAAGAAAAGTGCTACAAAGACAATCCAGCTGAGACTTAGATAAGGAATCAAAACCACTTCCTGGTATAGCCATTGTAAGAAATGCTGTGAAATCAAACGTATCTGTGACCATAGAACCCGGTAAACGAGGAAGCTTTGACCATTACCTCGTAGGTGCCCGAACCCGGTGGTCGCATCCCGCCAAAACACCTTCACAGATTTGTTCCTTTTACATGCTTGTTGTAGTACCCTTTCAATCTCACTATGCTCTCTGTGTACTCTAGTGTCGGTTTCCGCCTGCAAAGACCAAATAAGAGCTCCAGGAGATTGCTGAACATGGCTTGCAAAAGCCAATACTTTACGTGCGGCTAGGATTTGACTCTCGAATCTTACGCGGCATTGAATACTCCCAGATCGAAGCGTAATGGCGGTGACTGTATTTATTGCGGCTCGGGTCGCGGGATCCTGGGGTTCATGTATCCATGACATTGATTCTGACGCTAACTCGGGCGAAGACTTCAACGGTTGGATTTTGTCTTCGGAATATTGGATAACAGGTTTCAAAAGACTTGCTTCCATTAGGATCAGCTTATTGACAGCTGGGATGAATTTGGATTTTCCATGAGGCATTGGATGGACGGATGTTGTGTTGTACATGGTCATGGAACCATGGTGTACGGGTGAAGAAATGGAGGCTCTGACGAAGTCGGCATGTTGTTTATCTGGATCCCACTGAAGAGAGAGAAATAAGTCAGGAGTGGCATTTTTGCTGCGGACATGTGAGTTGTTATCTAAGATGAACTTTTACGACTTCACTTACAATAATTAATTATGTTGAATGGACCCCATATCTGCTGTCACTGTCGAACGGATTATGGTCCCTTTATACCCAAGGCCAGTACAGATAGATCTTTAAACTTGGTTACCACATCAAGTAAAACCCCTAAGTCGTACCATAATCACGAGCCACGCGGCAAGATATCATGTTGTAAACGATGTCTGCCTTGCCAACACCGTACTCAATGGAACGAGAGCCAATAGTTTCTAAGAGCATGGACCTCAAGAGCCAAAAGAGGAGTTATTTTTGGATGTGCAATCAAGATCCTGGTTGATTTTTCAAAGTTTTTATGCGGAACAGCAAGATTGACATGTGGCTGCCGCAATCGAGACTATGGGAACCAATGGATCTGATGGAGTGAGTTTGGTACATGGATTCCTTGAACCCAAGAGAATAAACCAGGATCATTGCAGCAGCAAGGCATTCATGCAAAGGGAATCTGTCGTCATAATTACCTCAAAAAGTCTATTGGCATGTGCAAAGTAGGCTATTTATTGGTGAAAACTCATGGTGCCTCGACCCTCATGTCACAAGACGTCGGTGCTACGGCTGGTGGTGTCATACATTGCATGAATAAATCAGGCAATGGGCTATGGAACTATATTTAGATGATCGATGTGCAGGAAGATAACGTTGCTTGGAAGGCTGAGCATATAAGTAGTGAGCCTCTGTCCCAACTCCTCCTCACCACCGTTCCCATACTCCAAGCTCACTATGAATGCAACCAACGACACCCCACTAGCCTCAATGACTTTTGATCAGCTCCAAGCTCTTGTTAAACCTGTTTGGGAAGATCAAGAAGACGAACCCAAAGACCCTATAGAGGTATGTAAATACATCACTCCATCTAACTATTGTTAATTACTATCTAGGACTTGAACTTCTCATTCGAGGAACCGGCAACCGATATCCAAATAGACAAGAATTTGGCAGAAACTCCCGACAAGATGTCACAGGATCAAACTACCCAATTGTTGAGCACGAATGGCCCAGCGAGAACATTAACAGACATGGAAAATCGAACGATAAACCATGTGGATACAACTTGGTTGCAAAACTGGGAGAATTCGATATGGTACCTATCGACTGCATTGACACCGTTTCCGTCACTGGGGTTTTCAGAAATTTCTGTTCCTATTCATACAGCACCGCTTCCTCAGCCAGCACCATGTCTGGCAATCTCGAAAACCTTGGTTGTATTCGAGGTCACACCAACGCTACTTGTTACATCATCTCCGGCATCCCTTAAATGCAACACGACTACTGTGTCGGCCAGAAATTCGACACTCGATCTCCCTAACGTGCATCCCTTCGCACCGGAACAACCGGTGTGGCGGAACACTATTTCTTAAGCAAGTACATAACAGGCGGAGAAACTTATGGAAACATGTTCAAAATCTCTTATTATTTTCACTTGCATATATCCTGCATATAACTAATGCCTAGATAGAAAAATACACCATGGTGTGGCTGTATATCATCAATACGCCGGCGGCGACATTCTGTGCCTCAGCTGGCACCTCAGCCTACGCAACTATTTTACTCTAAATCTTGTTGTCGGTAGTCTTAGGCAATGCTCTGGGCATCACAGTTTCAGATTCCTTTCTCAAAATGCTAGAAAATGATCTGTGGTGGTGATCAGAAAGTTTCTCCGTCGCCAGAGCGATTGGCAAGATTCGTGATGAGAGGTTAGCGCAACGAGCCCAGCTTTGTCATCTGTAATGTATGTTCACGTGACTCTTCTCTCAGTCAGTCATGTGACCCTTGCTTCTGGTACTTTCTATTAGTCTTTGTTCTATTATTAGCGTGAACGCGAGTAACGTCCACAACTGGGACATACACTCAGTGAGGAAGCTGTGATGTATACTACAGCAACCATGGATCCCGCCAGTCAGGCACTAGCTTTAGAATTGCCTCCCAACGTGCGCAAGAGCATCTCTGCTCGAGCTAGACATGGTAACGTTCCTCGTACTACTGTTCATTATCGGCATCGAGGTCGACCCTCGAAGAAGGCCGCAGCTGAGAGACAGCAATACCTGAGTCCTGCTGAGGAGAAAGCGCTTGTTGATTTCCTGCTACGAATGAGTGCCAGTGGATCCCCTATCCGCATCAAGTACATACCCTCTCTCGCCTTCTGCATCGCCCGCCGACGAGTATCGAATCGGCCCGCCGGCCCGCCACACAAGAACTGGCCTCAAGACTTCCGCCGCCGTCACCCCGAGATCAAGTCGAGGAACAACAAAGCAATGGATTGGGAGCGCCACGATAACAACATATATGATAAAGTCGTACACTGGTTCGAGATAATCGAGAAGGAACTTCGTAGACCAGATGTCTTGCCAGAGAATGTCTACAATATGGATGAGACAGGAGTCATGCTGAGCATGCTTGGCACTGTCAAAGTCCTTGTAGGTAAGGATGACCGACGAGACTATAGAGGTGCGGGCGTTAAGCGGACGATGGTGACCGCCATCGAATGCGTGTCAGCAAGTGGTGAGTCGCTGAACCCAATGATCATCTGGCCAGCCTCTACCCACAGGAGCAACTGGACGACGTATCCTACCCCTGGATGGTTCTACAGCCTATCTGAGTCAGGTTACAACGACTCCTTTATTAGCCTTGAGTGGATAAAGCAAGTATTCGATCCCCAGACTAAGGCTCGAGCTAATCAGAAGCCGCGCCTACTAATTTGCGATGGCTTCGGTACGCATGAAACTCTGGAAGTTCTTGAGTTCTGTTTCGAAAACAACATTACCTTGTGCAGACTGCCCTCTCATACCTCTCACAAGCTACAGCCATGTGATGTGTCAGTGTTTGGCCCACTAAAGACTGCATATCGAGATCAGGTGGAGCGACTTTACCGTGGAGGCCTGACAAATATTAGGAAAGAGCACTTCACTACTATATACAGCCCGGCGAGAGAAAAGGCGATGACTAAGAAGAATGTACTTGCAGGCTGGGCTAAGGCCGGACTGTTTCCGTTCAATCCAGCAAGGGTCCTTCGTGATTTAACAAAGCCAGACGCTCCCCCAACTGTTGCAAACCCTAGCGGAGATAGAGATGTGGGGGACGATATAATCCAGACGCCAGTAACGCCCGTCTCCACAGAGGCCCTGACGGGTTTGCTAAATCAGATCAAGCATAGTTCTTGTGATGGTAACGAGCAAGGCAAAGCTCGTCACAAGAGACTCGTTCAAAAGCTTGCGAATGCCGCCCAGCGATCGTTTGCCCGACAAGCACTAGATCAGAATTACATCGGAATCCTCAAAGATGCGAACAATGAAGCCAAGACTCGCCGTAAGACAAAGTCTGAAATTCTTCAAAAAGTCGAAAAGGATGGAAACGGGAGGGTGGTGAGCTATGAATATCTTGAGATGGTTCGGGCCGACCGTGCGAGGAAGAAAGCGGCTAAAGAGGCTAAAGAAGCCCAAGGCAAAGGAAAGCGTGGTCGACCAAAGGCAGCTGTAGAGGCAGATCAAGGCCAAGCAAATAGGGGGAGGCGTAGTAGGAAGCGAGAAACCACGGTGGTAGAAGTGCACAGCCTAGATGGTGCAGAACGGGATGCGCCAGAAATCCAAACACCAGTCGATCCAATGCTGGAATCCTGGAGAGCGCCCGAGGCCCGGATGTGGTGATAGGAGGTGGAATACATAGATAGCATCATTCGTACTATAGAAGGGTCATAATTAGGCGTAAAGTCGTTTTATGTATTTGCTGTCGCTTGGCTTACTTTGGTATCTGCTGACCGTCGTACTTTGACCTTGTGGGTTATCATTATCACCGTGATGCTTATCTGGTAAGCTCAGGACGTCAGGTGACTTATCATTCTAAGCTTACCTCTATCCAGCTGATGCCGTTGCTCTACTAAGAAACGATACCTCGGTACTATGCTCGTATCGGCCGTCCTCCGGCCAATAATTATTTAGAGTTTTCTTTCTAGTTAATTAGTTCGTTTTACTTCTCCGCGAAGGTTCGTCCCTCCGTGACGGATATTGGATGAGTCAGCACTAATCACATTTAGCTACAGTATTATGAGACTTGCCGACGGGATGCTGCTTTGCTCGGCGAATTAGCCACCTAGTTGAAACACAGCACGTGCTGCCCGACACACATATGGGCGGCAGGAGGATGCGCTCTACTGAACACGCACTGCATGCCGTCACAAGCAGGATCTACCAGGCATGGAACAAAGGCGACGGCCAGGTAGCTAGTCTTCTACTGCTCGATGTCTCAGGCGCCTTCGACAACGTCTCGCACCCCCGACTGCTCCACAATCTGCGGAAGCGAAAGGTAGATGAGAGGACAGTTAAGTGGATTGCAAGCTTTCTTAGCAATAGACACACTAGAATCGCAGTAGATGGCTTCACATCACAAGAGTACGCAATCAACACGGGCATACCGCAGGGCTCGCCACTCTCGCCTATTCTCTATCTTTTCTACAACGCCGATCTCATAGACGAGTGCAATAGAGAAGCCAGCGCAACGTCTACAGGATACATAGACGACGTAGCCATCCTCGCATGGGGCAACACAGCAGCAGATACATGCAGCACACTAAGTCGCGTGCTCGAGAAAGCACAGCGATGGGCCATCACCCACGCCTCGGTCTTCGCACCAGACAAGTTTCAGCTGACTCACTTCACACGCTCACGTACACGCATCAACAGAAGCAGGGCAGTGCAGACTAGCTGGGGCGAGGTGACGCCTAAGCCAACATGTAAGTATCTAGGCCTTACCATAGACTCGAAGCTGCAGTGGAAAGAACAAGTAGAAGAGATCAGACGTAAGGCGACAAAGACGGTTAGCGCGCTCAGCTGCCTAGGAGGCTCGACCTGGGGCATCACGCTCACAGACATGAGGAAGCTGTACGAGGCCACAGCGCTGCCACAGATGATGTATGCCTGCTCCATCTGGTCGAACGCCAGCGTTAAGGACAAAATATACACGAAGAAGACACTCAACACCCTGCAAAGTATACAAGCGAGAGCAGCAAGAGCCATATGCGGAGCATACAAAGCCACATCTAGAGCAGCTCTTGATATCGAAGCACACCTCCTACCAATCGAGCAGCAGATATCGAAGCACAACGCCGACGTTATTACTCGACTTCTCTCAAGCAAACACATGGTATATATCTCAAATCTTAAGGTCAGTAGGACACAACACGCCAGCGTAAGTATACGCCGCATTAGACACATCGACTCCTGGCAGAAGATATACGACAATATGAAGGATCAGTGTAGACAGGATATCGAGACACAGGAACCAATCCCACCCTTTATCATCCCACCCTGGCGACACGGCCCAAAGACCCACATAGACAAGAGCGCCGACAAAGCACGCAGTCGACACGACAGAGAACATGAGAAGGACCAGAGCCTTAGTATCTACACTGACGGCAGTGGCAAAGATGGCGAGATTGGTGCTGCAGCAGTATGCCCACTCACACAGCAAACCCGCACAGTACACATGGGGCCAGGCACAGTCTCGACAGTCTACGCTGCCGAGCTACAAGGTATCAGCCTCGCACTGCAAATAACACAAGAGTACGTAGAGCGAGGAGGTGAAAGGCGGAAGATAGCCATCTACACAGACAACCAGGCAGCCATCTGGTCCGTGGCCAAGGCTGAGGGCCGATCAGGAGCATACATTCTCGCAGATATCGCAGAACGAGTGAAGACGCTCCAGGATATAGGCCGGCAAGTAACAATAAGGTGGATCCCAGCCCACACCGGCATCCCAGGAAACGAAGCCGTCGACAGGGCCGCCAAAGAGGCCACAGGATGGAGAGAGGACGGCCGCAGACACCCGCCAGCAGATGCGCCGCCCAGGCTCTATCGAATCAGATCAACCGTCAGACGCTGGTGCAGGATCCAAACAGAGCGAGCATGGATAGTCAAGTGGCGAGCAGAGGCCAAAGGCCGAGCAACTTACAGACACACACCGTTGCCTACTAAGAAAATACGACAGAGCGCGCTGCTGGTACAGCTGCGCACCGAGAAGATAGGCCTGCGCGACTTTCTCTTCACCCAAAGAGTGCCAGGTGTTACCAGCTCCCGCTGCCAGTGCGGAGAGAGACGACAGACTGTCGCCCACATCCTGCTCCACTGCAGGAGGCTCAAGGACCTCCGGAACCAGGTATTCGACAACCTCCGTGGACGACACAACCTTCAGGCTATCCTAAGTAAGCCACAGCTAGCCACTAAAGCTATCCAGTTTATAGAACAAGCGCAGATCCTTGGGCATGTTAGGATCGAAGACACGTAGACGACAGCCGAGCGCTGGGGGGAGACTGTAGGTATCGCGGCCGCAAAATACGAGGCAGCACGCCTCTACGAGCCTATAAGCACAGCACACTACTAGTAGAACCATTATCTAGATGAGGTGGCAGCCAGATTGTAGATAGCGGCGGAGGGGAAACGGCAGGCCTCTAGGAACAGCTGGCTCCCATAAGGGAGTGACGTGGGGCGGCGCGGATTAACGTCCGCGCGGCGTCGGCTGTTGGCTACGCCAGCCATGCCGGGCATAGCTGCGGAGAAAACGCGGCTGAAACCGAGTAGGACTCAATCAATCAATCAAATCATCTCAACAAACTTCGCAACGGAGAAACATTCGCATCACCACCACATATCGATATTAGGTATTCTAGGACGCGAGACTTGAAACCTCACACCTAAAGCTACTCCGTATACCTCCAACATACAGATTCAGATTAAAATGATCGCTTAGGCTAAGGTGATAGGCTAAGGCATGAAATGTCGCCGTCAGGACATTAGTCGCTTCTGGCCGCGACACTGCGTATTTTTATATTTTGGTGTGGCTATTACAAATGTTTAACGTCAATAAAGTATTCAGAAACGATATTCTATTATTAAATCGTGTTTCCTGCTTTTTACAGACTGATTTTACAGGTTCTGTTCTATTGCACTAGTTGTTCCGCTGCAATAGGATGTACGTTACGAAGTATTGTGACATTGCTTTGGTAGGGAGACTGCGCCGCTCGGTGGTGAATGAAACACGTTAATCCGAACTATAGAGCACCAACGCTAGCGTCATGTTTCCCTCCTAATCTGCGCCCTCTCTACTTTCACTGTATTGCGTTCTAGTGATGGCAGCATGGTTCCTTCAAAAGTTAAAAATCAGAACTTACAGAGTCACGATATACGTACATTGTTAAAGCAAACCTTTAAATTTATTAGTAAGGTTATTAAATCTAAACAGATAACGTATTCCACCACCGAGAGTGCCACCCCACCGAGTGTGCCACTTTTTCTTGGCATCGCGAACATCACATATGAAAACTTGAATTACTCTACACTAGCTATAGATGCTTCGTACGACTCACTTGCATCTAACATAGAATCTTCTTCTACATCTTTTTGGCACGTACGGGCGTTATGGCCCACTCTCCCACAGATTCCACAGTGCCGTTGACCTGGCTGGGCCTTTTCTTGACTACCCCCACCACGCGCTTTCTTTGATATTATACGACTAGTAGAAGCACTTTCAGCTGCCTGCGATGCTCCTGCACCAAATTCTAGTGTCCCGCCTGT